TCCTGCTATCTGGTGCAAAAACTGTGGTCGACATTCAGGCAGGAGATGAAGTGGCTTTGGCTGGGAGTGGAGATGGAAAGGGGAGTCTGGCTGGACCGGGAAGAGGGACAGGAGACAGGGTTGGTAGGATTTGGTGTTGGTTTGCATGGAAGAGGGGAAAAGAGAAGCAAGAGTCACAGGGCCCCCAGAATCCTGGCTGGCTCCACGGGGTCCCTCCCAGACACCCTACATAATCTCTCATTTGGTATCTGTTGTGTCATTGGTAGAGACAGTAATACCTACCCTGATGATGGCTGGGCCGTATAAGACCGTGCATGGAAAGTGCTTAGCAAGTGCCTGGTTCCCACGGTAGCTGGTGGGGCTGGGGGAGGGTCTTATTACTCCAGGGACCTGTCATCTTGGTGGTTCTCCCTATGGGTCTTGTGCTGGATCTTTTATATTCCTTAAGGTGTATCCTAGAGCAGGGGTCCCCAGCCCCTGTTTGGAACTGGGCCGCACAGCAGGTGAGCGGCAGGCGAGCGGGCGAAACTTCATCTGTATCTGCAGCCGCTCCCCAGCGCTAGCATCACCGCCTCAGCTCCACCTCAGATCATCAGGCATTAGATTCTCATAGGAGCCCAGGTCCTTGGTGCCAAAAAGTTTGGGGACCACTGTCCTAGAGTATGCCTAAGGATGAATGGGGTTGCTGGGGCTGCTCAAGCCACCGACCATGGAGGCATCTGGGATGGAAAAAGGCAGTGCCCCACCCCTCCCCAGCTAGAGCAGAAAGCCAGCCTTAAGCCCCTTCCCCCCAATGCCCGATGCCCAAGGTGGGACTGGGCCCTCGGCTCTCATCTCCCCTCTGGCTGACCTTGGGTGGGAAGGGTCATCTTTGAAGTTATCTGTGATGTTCCCATGATGCTTTGGGGGTCTGACCCCTGACCCTAACCAGGGTTGTAATCCCTCTTCTTGGTTTCAGGTAACCTCCGTGGCTACAACCTGGTAACCCCAAGCCTGACAGCCCCCAGCCTGACACCCCCTCAGCTGGGCACCCCAAATCTGCAGCAGTTCTTTCCCCAGGCCACTCGGCAGTCGCTGCTGGGTCCCCCTCCTGTCGGGGTCCCCATAAACCCCTCCCAGCTCAACCTTTCGGGGCGGACCCCCCAGAAACAGGCCCGGACCTCTTCTGGCACCCCCAATTGCAAGGTGAGTGGTGGCTGGAGTGGAGCAGGTAGGGATGGGTGTGAGAGAGGGCTTACCTGGGGATCCGCCCGCTCCCTACTGTGGCTCACACGGGCCTTTGGGCAGGTCACACTCCTCTTCGTGCCTCAGTTTCTTCATCTGTGAAATGAGCAGGAGGTACGTTGGACTTGTCTAGCGTTTTCCAAACTTCAGATAGTTAGGAACCCCTTATGTGATTTTGCCATGTCGAAACAGCAACAGGATGATCGTTTACTTAATATTTCTTTTTTTAAAAAAATCGGAGTATAATTGACATATAACGCATTAGTTTTAGATGTATTCTACAGTTCTCTTTAAGATCAGCACAGCCCAATGGAATTAAAATGCAAGCCATATATGTAATTTGAGTTTTTCTAGTAATTACATTAACGGAGTAACACGAAACAAGTGGAGTTAATTTTATTCATATATTTTATTTAACCCAATATATTAAAAAATTATCATTCCAACATGAAGCAACATAAAAAGAATGACGTATTTTACATTCCTTTTTTTTTTTTTTTTCTTTTGGTGTTAAGTCTTAAAATCTGATGTGTGTATTTTATACTGACATCTCAGTTTGGCTTGCCACATTTCAAGTGCTCAGAAGCCACCCACATGTGGCTAGTGACTCCTGTCTGGGAAAGCACAGCGTTAAATGAAGTAGCTTCTTCTCAGTTCCATTTAGAAAACTTTATATCACTACCTAAAATTTAAAATCAGTGTAAATTAACTGCCATACACAGAAGTAAAAGAAAGGTAATCGGGGTGGAATAATGTTATAAAAATCCTGAACTCGACAGTGTTGCCATTTGAAGGTTCTGAGCCTGCACCCCTGGCTCCTGCTGGTTGAGAGGTGGTAAAATTGTCAAAAAGACTTTCCCTGACATAAGCAGAAAGACTCAAGGAGACTTGCAAAGGGAATCACGTCCTGCCTGAGTCCCCCTGCAGGGGACTCAGAAGTGCAGATGACGCATCTGGCCCGGAGATCCTGGGGAGCGGGGTATTGGGGTGGTAATGATGGTAAGACATTGATGCAAATGATGCTCCCACCAGTTAATTGAGACTGTGGAAAATGCCACAAAGGGGAAACCCCAGGCCCACTGAGGACCTGTCCTAGGGATCTAAACCTGCTCCGGGGTCAGGAAGGCTTTCTGCAAGAAGGGCCTTTGAGACTTGGGATGAAGGCCTGGGGCAGGAAGACGCCTGGGGCTTCCGGGAACCTAGGAAGGCCAGTGTGGGTGTAGAAGGGGGAAGGGGGAGAGTGGAGAGAGCTGAGGCTGGAGGGGTGGGTGCGGGGTAGAGGTCAGATTGTGTAGGGAGTCGGGGAGGTGGTGTCAGACTCTGGGTGAAAAAAGAGTACACTCCGGGTCTACAAGAAACACAGGAGGGTTTCAGCTTGCAAGAGACAGGAGACATGATCAGGTTTGCCTTTGAGAAGGATTCCTCTGGCGGCTTTGTGGAGACGAGGGTGGGGAAGTCAGGAGGCAGCACTGCAGCCAGGAGAGGGCCTGTGTCCCCCAAACGTGGGTTTACTTGACAGGTGGCTAGATGGAACTCCCTAGACACCATTCCCAGAGTGTTTAGGATCATCTCTTGGCAGCTCTGGGGCCAGGCCCGTCAAAAGTCCCCAGGGCCCTTCATCTCCTGGTGGACTATTGCAGCTGCTGCTGGGCAAGGATGTGCAAGGATGTTCAAGGGGGGGTAGTGGATGTCAGATATGGTTTCTGAAAGGAAGCAGGATTCTTCTTCCCAGACGACGCCTGTGGAAGACGGGGCAGACCCCCCAGAGGGGTCTGAGGAAGCCACAGAGCCCCGAACAGACACACCAGGTGAGAGAAGTTGCTGGCCCTTCAGAGGGGACACAGGTTGGGGCAAGTGGGCGTAGGGTTGGTAATGGCAGTAGATCTGGGAGGCAGGGATCTTGGTGGGGGGTGAGCCCAGGTCCCAACCCCCAAAGCTTGTTCGTGCTTTACCTGCCACTGGCAGTCACTCATCTGCTTTTCATTCTAGATCGAGATTCCCCTCCCTGCCCAGATGGCATCGCTAAGGAGAATCATGCTCCAGCACCTGAGCCAGAGTCTTGTGAGGCATCTGAGCCACCAGCTAAAAGGTCTAAGAGGTAACTGATGCTGAAAACCTGCCGGGGTCCAGGAAGCCTGTACTCCCATTCCTGCAAAGACAAGTGGGTGTACGTGGGGGCAGGAGCCTTTAGGGGGAGAGGTGCAAGGAAGGGGCTTTGGCTTCTGGCTTGGAGGAGGGCCAGACCTAATTCTGCGCCTCACCTGGGCAGACAGACTCTAGTGCCTTTACTGTGACTGAACCACCTGGAAGCAGACGAGGTGGCCCAGCTGGAGAGGTGAAGATATGCGCCTGGGACCTCAGGGTGGCCAGAGGGTGGGCAGCTTTACAGGGCCTTGGATACATATTAGCAAGTTGTAGGAGGTGGGAGCGAGTGACCTTGCCAATTTATTTAAGTGACAGTGGGGCCCTGAAAGTCGAAGCCCTCGCCTTAATGCGCAGCTTACGTGTGGTAGAGCAGTGATTGGAGCTTGAGTCTTGGCCTTTTTAGGGAGCCCCTGGGGCCAATTGGAAGACATGAATTTGATCTTCTTTTGATCCTGCCTAGCTCAGAGGAACCCACAGAGAAGGGGCCCCCAGGGCAGCTACAGGCGAAGGTCCAGTCACAGGCCCGGATAACAGCACCGAAGCAGACACAGACACCTGAGCTGCTGCCTGAGCCACCAGAAGCCCGAGTGCTGCCACGATTCCAGCCACGGGTTCTGCAGATCCAGGCGCCGGTGCAGACACAGACTCAGCCACAGATGCCACCAGTGGACACCCAGGTGCAACCAAAGATGCAGAAGCAGGCACAGACACAGACCATTCCAGAGCACTTAGTGCCACAGCAGCTGCAGCTCCAGAAAGAAGAGGCGGAGCCACTGAAGCAGGTGCAGCCACAAGTGCAGCCACAGGCACATTCACAGCCCCCAAGGCAGGTACAGCCACAGCTGCAGAAGCAGGCACAGACGCAGACATATCCACAGGTCCAGGCAGAAGCACAGCCCAAGGTCCAGTCAGTGGAGCATCCACCGGAGCAACCTCCCTTACAGTCGCCAGTGCATCCACCCGACCGGACCCAGGAACGGCCTCAGACCCAGCCACAGGTGCCAGCATCAGATCCAGCACTGGTTCCGGTTCATTCCACTGTGCCAGAGATGCCGCCTAATACGGTAGAAGCTGGAACGGGTAAGTGATTGCTGGCTCCCAGCTGGTCCAATGACGGGACAGCTCTTTCCTCCCTGCCCAGACCCTTCTTTCCTCCCAGGGCACTGTCCAGCCCTGACTGGGTGCTGCCTGGGATCGAGGGTTGGATCTAGAACCAGGATTTGGGGCCATTTATACCAGAGGCTTCAAGGCCTTGGCTGTGGGCAGAGAAGGTGGCCCTTGGGCCCAGGTCTCTCTGAGCCAGGTGAGAGATGGACCCTGGGAAACAGAGCACATCTATCATTTCAGGCCTGGAGGAGGCCTTGACGGAGCCAGTGGGCGCCCAGGCCAGTGTGGAGGGGACCCAGGAGGAGCTGACCGGTGGCCTGGATGTGGGCGAATGTGAAAAAAGAGCCGGAGAGATGCTCAGGGTGGGTAGCAACGCTAGTGGGGCAGAGTGAGGACCACAGTGCCCAGCAGTGGCAGGGCCTTTCCTGCCCCAGCCCACCTCGGGGGCCCCTCGTGTCCCCCTCCCCACCGGGAAATGGACCACAGCCCCTCTGCCTGGGTTTGACAGTGGTTCATCCAACTGTCATGCTGTTGTGTTGTCTTCCCATGCCTTTGCCCTGAAGATCCGGAGGTACTTTTGGTGACAAGAGTCCCTTCAGCCCGCTCATCCCATAACAAGGGCCCCTAGTCCCCTCACATGGGTATCATTTTTCTAGTGCAGAGAGCAGAGTGGCAGCCCATGCTGGGGGTTTGGGTCCCAGCTCCGCCTCACGGTGAATTGTGGCCAAACCCATTTCCTTCTCGTGTTTCCATCTGTCATGTGAGGAGTGGGTTGGGTAGGCTTGAGGTAGGTAGGCCTGGCTTTCAGTCCTGACGGTACTGCTTCCTAGCTGTGTGGGCCTGGGGCAGTCACCTAGCAGCTCGGAGCCTGGAAAGTGGGCCGTAGGAGGGCCCGATGAGATGTTCAGCACCGGGGCTGGCCCACCATCGATGCCCAGCTGCTCTGCTCCTGCTCCCGGTGCAGGTATGGGGTGCCGGGGGCTCCCTGAAGGTCACCATCCTGCAGAGCAGCGACAGCCGGGCCTTCAGCACTGTACCCCTCACACCCGGGCCCCGTTCTGGTGACTCTACCTCTGCCACCCCTGCCGCCACCAGCACGCCCTCTAAGCAGACCCTTCAGTTCTTCTGCTACATCTGCAAGGCCAGCTGCAACAGCCAGCAGGTACCGCCAGCCGGGCCCTGGGCGGGGGGTGGAGTGGAGGGTCTGTGCGGGATCCCCGGCCTGCCCTGTCCACGGAGGGGGCGGCCTTGTGCGCCCCACCCTTGGCAGCTGTGCATTTGCTCAGTAAACATTTTCTCACCAGCCATGAAGGGAGGGGTTTAGAGTCAGGCAGAACTGGTTTGAATCAGCCCTGAGCAGCTGTGTAGACCTCCGAAGGTGAATTCTACCCTTTGTGCCTTGGTCGTCTCGCGCATCAGATGAAGAAACATTTAGAACCCAGCTCGTCGGGTGGTTCTGAGGATTCAGCGACTTGACGCTGAAGTCCTGAGCCCCCGGCCCAGCCCAGCGTGAGCCTAGCGTTCATAACAGCATCATGCTTGTATTATTCCTTCTGGTGCTGTTGTTACCTCTGTCCCACTTTGCCTCACCTGGGCAGAAGGGGGACCTGGACATTAATGAGACTGCTCCTTGTCCTTGAGGCACTCAGGGTCTCCAGGAGGAGCAGGAGCTCTGGCTGCCGTGTGCTCACTGTGTCCTCTGTTTCCGCCCTCTGGGCCGCACAGCATTATCAGCGGTGGCAGGGCGGCCATGAAGCCGAGGTCGGAGGCCTCCTCCCTGGGCCCCAGGCCTGACTGCTGTTCCGGGGCTCACCCCTCACGCCCATCCCTCGCTCCCACCTATGCAGGAGTTCCAGGACCACATGTCGGGGGCCCAGCACCAGCAGCGACTCGGGGAGATCCAGCACATGAGCCAAGCCTGCCTCCTGTCCCTGTTGCCTGTGCCCCGGGATGTCCTGGAGAGAGAGGACGAGTGAGTGGGGGATCGCGGAGTGTCTGTCCTGGGGGTGGGCAGTCTCACGGGCCAGGTGGGGCTGAGAGGGGCCCCGAGTCTGCCATCTGCAAGGTCTGCCTTTGTGTTAAGCATCACCCTCCCCCAGAGGCCTCTTCATGCCATTACCTTTGTGGCCTTGGACCTCAGTTTTCCTCATCTGTAAAATGTCCTGGGGAGGGATGCAGTGAACCAGTTCCTGAAGGTTCCATCCAGGCAGGAACAGTGTGGCCATCCACGTGGGAAGGAAGTGGGTTGTGGCACTGGGGCTGCTCCCCTGTCCCCCTGGCATGTGTGCTGACCCCACCATAGGGGCACGATGGTGAGGGTCAGGTCATCTTGTAGCCTGAGGTTAGAGCTACTCTGCCTCTCCCCCTTTCATTGTCATGGGTGCTTGGTCGATTAGACACCCCGTCGGCCTTCCCGGAGTCTGGGATCAACTCTCCGGCGGCGGTGGGGCGGGGGAGGTGCGGGGTCGGGGCAGGTGGAAGCTGGAGGCCCTTTCACAACCCTGTGGGCAGTCACAGAGGCCTGCTGGGGCTGGGAGGCGTCATCAGTGAGAGAAGCAGGTCGGTGTTGGATCGGGCCGTCCTGGGGGACATGGTGGGCTCTGCGTCACAGCTGCCCCTCAGCTCCTGGTCCCATCCCTTAGTTTTTCAGGAAAGACCAGAAACGCAGATTTGTATGTGAAATCTCCCAATTTCAAAAGGTTAATAGCTAGTTCAGAATTAAAACAAACCCCATGGAGGCCAAATGAAACCCTTTCTCAGGCTGGACAGGCCCTGAGGCAGTCGTCAGGGACTCTTCCGTGGGCGTTTACAGAGAGTCCTAACTTGAAGTCTCAAGTGGGGTGAGGGGACAGGAGCTCTGAGTGACAGGGAGCAGCACTGTCTCCAAAGGCGGCTGTGTCTCTGTTAGCAGTCCTCAATCTGAGAACAGTTTCCCTGCGTGGTTTTGCAGTATGTTCTCGAGCCTTAAACCTCCCCCTGCCCCCTGACCTAGGAGTCAGACATAGGCGAAATAATCACACAGGAGGAAGGTGACTGACTCACAAAGATGTTCCTAGCAGAGTTAATGTAATCGTGAAAAAACGCAATTAGGAATTGTCTAAAATATCCCAAACTTGGAGATTAGTTGGATCATTAAGTTTAGCCCATGTGGTAGAGCAATTAATAAACAGGATAATGGCGGGAATTTATGTCTGTGATCCAGTGTCAGGTTAGAACAGGATTCATAATTGCATTTGCAGAATGAGCTTGATCAAGTCCAAATAAATCTCGTGACACAAGAACACTGAACAGGTGGGGGGATTCGTCAAACTGGCCAATGACATCTCCCTCGAATGCTGACTTGGTCCCGAGGCCACGCAGACAGTGGCAGTCCTGTGCCAGGCCCTGGGGATTCTCGGATGGAATGCCAGCCTGTCAGAGCCCACCACGGCCCAGTGCGAGTGGAGACGGGATCAGGTCCTGCCAATTCATCACGGACAGTGTGCGGCAGGGGCACTTTGGGGTCTCAGCGGGAGTCCTGGCTTACTGGGATGGGGACAGGTCCAGGAATGGAGGAAGGGAAGAGCTCTGGGAATGACAGGGCATTTAAACCGCAGGAGAAAGAGAAGTTTTCGAGGCCAGATAACTTCAGTTGCGTCACTGTCCTGGTGGCCCCCGGTATCCTGAATGCTTCTAAATCTCATTCCCCGCCCCTCAAGTTTCCTTGGTGGTTCTTGTTTAAGTATTGGTCCAGATGAATCTCAGAACCATTTTAAGTTTCCGAAAAATATCCTGTTGGAAAGGCACTGCATTTATGGAGCATCTGGGAGAGCCGCTGTCTGTCCAGTAAGAACATCATGTCACACTCTGCTTGTTTTGTCCTCGTTCAGAGAGCCTCCTCTGAAGCGCTGGTGCCACACCTGCCAGGTCTACTACATGGGAGACCTGATCCAGCACCGCAGGACACAGGACCACAAGGTATGAGGGCCTGCGCGCTGTGAAGGCGCCTCCGTGTGCTGTCTCCAAGCCACGGGCTGGGAAGGAGGTCGCCCAGGTTGGGAGTGAAAGTCAGGGCCAGCCTGTGTCTCTGCAGGGCCATCACTCGTGAGTGTGGCTTTTCGATGAGTCCGTCGTGCTTCTTCTCTGGGCTTCAGTTTCCCCGTCTGTCCAGCATGGCAGAGCACCATCTCACCTTGCCGTTCAGCCGTGGGGCTCATGCGGCTCCTTTGGCGGTACCCTCTCTCCCTGTTTTCTCTCTGTCCTGTCTCTCTCTCTTGCCATCTGCCGTCCCATCTCAGAGCCAGCAGCAGAGGGAGGGTACCTGTTGCCCATGCTCTGGTACAGGGGCAGAGTACAGCCAGCTGATTACAGATGTGGTGGCCTGCAGCTGGGAGGTGAAGTCTCACTGGGCACTGCCCGGCTGCACATGGAGACACTGCCCGCCACCCGCTTGGTCTGCCCTCCTTTCCCTAGATCGCCAAACAGTCCCTGCGACCTTTCTGCACCGTTTGCAACCGCTACTTCAAGACTCCTCGCAAATTTGTGGAGCACGTGAAGTCCCAGGGGCACAAAGACAAAGCCAAGGAGGTAACCTCAGCTCTTTCTGGGGGACATGGGGGCCCAGAGAGGTACAGAGCCTTAGCCAGAGCCACAGAGCAAATTGAGATTTATCCCAGTCAAAACTCATAGCAGGTCCCGAGGGATTGGGATTCCCAGGGGTGTGGGCTCTGTGGGGCATGGCACCTTGGCTGCCCTGAGCTGACCTGAGCCCTGGCCCCTCCCCCGGGCAGCTGAAGACTCTCGAGAAGGAGATAGCCGGCCAAGACGAGGACCACTTCATCACAGTGGACGCCGTGGGCTGCTTCGAGGGTGATGAGGAGGAAGAGGAGGAGGAGGACGAAGAAGAAATCGACGTTGATGAGGAATTCTGCAAGCAGGTGTTTGGAGAAGGAGGGGGTTCGGAAGGCAGGCTGGAGGCTAGAGTCAGCCCAGGGGGACTTTGTCCCACTTCCTAGGGGCCAAGAGGCACTGTGCTGGCCTTTCTAGACACTCATGCCTGCCACAATTTAGTACTAATAGGAGCTATATTCTAGATGATTATAGGGTGGCAGGTGAAATATGCAGGGGACCCCAAAGCTGGCTGAAATTCTGACCTGTGTTGAGGAAGGGAAAAGGCATCCTGGGCTGAGGGAACAGCGTCAATAAAAGGCATGGGGGGGACTCTGCGTTGTGTATAGGAAGCGTCAGTGAAGATGATGACGACGGCGAGCAGTCAACATTTTTTTGAGCACCTACTACGTGCCAGACTTGCACCCAGCACTTTCCTGCAGAATCTCACCAACCTGGATGCCAGGAAGTGCGACTCCAGAGCCTGTGCTGGGAACGCCCTCGCTCCTCTGTCGTCCATGAGTGGGGAGCTGGAGGGTCCTGGATTCTTTTCCGTTTAACCAAAGTTTCCAGGGCACCTTTTCTGGGCCAGGCCCTGGTGCTGGACACCAGGGATTCGTGGGGACCAAGGCCTGGCCCCTGCTCTCACAGAGCTCCCGTTACGGTCTAGGGTGGTGACGGAGCACAGAGGGGCTATGGATGGAGGGTTGTGAGGGTGGCCCTCAGCCCTGAGCAGCTTCGGGCTGAAGCCAGCTGTGCTTCTCAGTGGTCAGCATTAGTGTCCTCGGCAAGCCTCTTGGCCTCTCTCAGCCTCAGTTTTCTCTGCTCAGAAGTAGTAGCCCCAGCTCAGGCTATGAGGAAGGGTTGCAGCCCAGGGTGGCAAACAGAAGTAGGTTCACTCTTTGAAGTCATGTTTGCCTGGGACACAGTGCAAGGCACTGCTAGGCATGGCGGGGCTGACGTGGCTGGAGTCAGATAGCCTTGTCTGGAAGGGGCATATGTCCAGCAGGTGTGATGAAGGGTCCTAGATCACTTGAAACTCACAACCCCCCAGGACTGAGGTCACTGCAGCATCAGCTAGGAACTTAGGGACCTGGCAGGGGGCTTACAGTTAAGAATGTAACCAGGACTTGGGACCCACCAGGGTTCACCACCTTGCACCTCCCCAAGCCAGCTGTGTAACCCCAGGCACGTGAGTGGGCCTCGGTTTCCTATTATGTAAAATGGGTGAACCACAGAAGATTGTTGTGAACATTCAGTGAGGTGACATGTGTGATGTGTTGGGCACACCTGGGATGTATTATGGCCACTGGGAGCAGGAGGGCTTCCTGGAGGAGGGGACTGAAAGCATAGATTGGGAAGGGTACTCTGGGAGGCAGGATCAGCTGTGCAGAGGTTCAGAGAATGCCACCCACAACCTCCTCGATATCAAGGGGACGGTATGTTGAAGAGCATGGGTGGGTCCCAGGGGTCCCCTCACCTGCATTCAGGGGATGGGGTCTAGGGAACCCAGATTTGAGGCCCACACTTGCATGTTCCAGGTGAGGTCCAGAGATACATCCGTAGAGGAATGGAAAGGCTCAGAGACCTACAGCCCCAACACTGCATACGGTAAGACCCCAGCCCTGACCCCAGCCTCCAAGTGACCCATCCCAACCATGGCATCCTGGCCAGGTAACCTATCCCCTTGTCATCTTCTTTTTCCCTCAGGTATGGACTTCCTGGTGCCCGTGATGGGCTACGTGTGCCGCATCTGCCACAAGTTCTACCACAGCAACTCAGGGGCGCAGCTCGCCCACTGCAAGTCCTTGGCCCACTTCGAGAACCTGCAGGTGAGCCGGGCCTCCTGCCCGGGACTCAGACTCCATCCGAACTGATGGAGATGATGGCCAGTGGCCACATCCGTCCTGTGCTTGACCTTGGCCCCGAGGCCCACCCAACAGGGAGGCCCTTCCCACAAAGGGAGCCAGAGCCAGCGTGGTGCCGGGCTCTTTCCGCTGTTGTTCTGGGGGGCTGCTGAGGGCCAGGCTGCTAGCCCTAGAGCCCTGGCCCAGGGAGTGTGAGCACATCACACGGGGTTGCACAGTATGTCCACTGCTGTCTCAGCTGGGTTGGGGAAGCACCTGCTGGCCAGGAGCGTACCAGGTAGGGAGGGAGTCCCACCTCACCTGTACCCTCTATGTCTAGAAATACAAGAAGGCCAAGAACCCCAGCCCCACCACCAGGCCTGTGAGCCGCCAGAGTGCCATCACTGCCCGGAACGCCTTGACTGCTCTGTTCACCTCCAACGGCCGCCCACACATCTACCCCAGCGTCCAGGACAGAGCAAAACCCCCCCGCAAGGTGACGCCTCAACCCCCTCAGCCCCCACCACCCCGGCGCTCAACCCGCCTCAAAACCTGATAGAAGGAGCTTCCTACACCAGTGGCGTCTGGGTCCAGATCTGCTCTGCTTTGTAGGAGTCTGCATGGAAACTGTGACATAGTGTTTTTACTCAGAACCCAATAAAAGAAAGTAGTTTGGCTGTACAGTCCTCACCAGCACTTCTGCCTGGGTGGACGGGGGAAGGGGTACATCCCAGCCAGCTCTAAGCAGCGCCCAGCCTCTGTAGGCACAGTGTGGGGGCAGAATTGGAAGGCCAAAGACAGGTTCGCTAGCCAGGGAACCTGGGATCACACGGCACTTCACCTCTCCAGCCTGTTTACCTCTTAATGATGCATCAGGGCTAGGAAAGTACCTTCAAGTAAGATCTCATTTAATCTGGTTCCCCCCCAAATTAGATGATGAAACAGAGGCCTAGCAAAGTCAAGTAACTTGCTGAAGGTCATACATCTGGTGAGTGGCCGGGATTTGACCCTGGGCCTGAGCGCTGGACCCCGGTGCTGGCCTCTCTCTCCAGCTGGACCCTGTGGAAGCAGAAGTGCAGGAACAGGGCCCTTGCTGCTCCTCTGGATCTGAGTTCATGGTTCACTAGTGAGGACCCTGCCCTTCTCATCAGGTGACCCCATCCATGATGAATCACCAGTGGGCCCAGGTGTGGGGCCCAGGCTGAGTTGGAGCTTTAGTTCTGCTATTTCCCCATTTGGAAAGACCCTTATAGACAGACAAGTAGATCAAGCCTGTCATTGGCCGGCTGGGGCCAAGAGAGGGCGGTGCCCAAGGTTGAACAGCATGTCTTGGTGTTGGTGTCTTAGTGAAAGGCCTCAGGACCCAGGGAAGCTAAGAGCATCACACACGGTCACATAGCATGTCCAGTGCTCTCTCAGCCCGGCTGGGGAAGCAGCTGCTGGCCAGGAGCGTACCAGGTGGGGAGGAAGCCCTGACCTCACCTGCACCCTCTGTGTCCACACAAGAAGGCCAAGAACCCCAGCCCCGCCACGGGCCCACGGCCGCCAATGCATGAGCAATGCCTGGAACTCCTTGACTGCTCTGGTCACCTGTGTCGGCCCCTGGGGTCCTCATCTCAGGACACAGGAGAGAGGCACAGTGCTGTTGGAGACCCGTTTAATGTGGACATTCAAGGCCTGGGTAGAATGGAGAGTGCCCAGGAATTGGGCAGGCAGGCAAGGTGGGTGGGTCGCAGGTCCACACCTGGACCCCGGAGGGGAGGCCCGGTGGTGGGGGCTGGCCCAGACACGCCGAGGGGAGTACCTGAAGGTGGCCCAGGCAGGAAGACCCACCAGGGGACCTGCAGGCCAGCCCTTGAGAAGATATGTAAGTCAGGTAGTGTGTGCCCAGGCCAGAGCCTGGCTCAGGAATGCAGGGTTGGGGCCTGGTTGGGGGCTCCTGGAGCCTAGGGGCTGGCATCGCTGGGGGCCTCCCCGAGCTGCTGCTGGAACTCGAGGCGCGTCTGCTGGTTGGACTCAAGCAGCTCCTGGAGGCGGGCATGGAGGTGGTCGTTCTTCTCCTCCAGGTGGTCCAGACAGGAGTTGATCTGGTCCAACATGGAGTTGATGGCAGCATATTCTAGAAGGAAGAGGAAAGAGAGCCAAGGTCCTGTGTCTCTCCAGGGCTCACGGATACCCTCCCTCAAATCGTTATCCCCCATCCTGCCTCCAGAAAGTCTTTGGCAAGGCCCTACTCTTCCCTGAGCCTCTCCCCATCTGGAAAATGGGTGGATATCAAAAGAGGAAAGGCTTTGGATAAATAATACCTTGGCACACCATCCTTTTTTCTAGGGTTAGGATGGTCAGGGGTAGATCCGCCAGCCAGTGTCCGGCCTAGGAAGTCCTGCCGGGTGCCAATCTCCTTTCTACTTCCTTTATCTGCCTAGAGGCCAGAGCCCACATGCCCGAGTTGGGTAATCAAAGCCTCTGTCCCCAGGCAGCTCTTCTATGGCTTCCGCCCTCAGGATAAAGTACCCAGAAGACTCCAAGGCCCCACTCCCCTCTCCAGCCCCATGTCCCATGCCTTTTCCTTTCCTCTCTCACATCTGCTTTGCCTACCTCAGGCCCCTTGAACGTGCTATTGCCTCTGCCTGGAATGCACTGTGTCCTGCTTTCCCTCCTCTCTTCCTGGATAAGTCCCACTCATTTTTCAAGTCTCAGCGTGGATGTCGCCAGAGGGAGCCCTCCCAATGGCCCAGACTGGATTAGGCCTCTATTCCTGATACCCCTCCTAACACTTCCATGGCCCTCGCCTCCAGATTGACTTGTGATTGTTTGTGTGCTGGTCAGTCTTCCCGACCAGACTACAGAGTTCCGTGAGAGGTGGAAGGGTCTCGTGTTCACTGCTGTTTCCCAGAGGTCTTCACTGTCACACAATAAGCATTTGTTGAATGAATGAATGAATGGATGAATGAATGAGGCCTCTAACTGCCCGGCCTTTCTGCCTTTGCTCAACTGTTCCTGCCACCACCCAGGATGCTTCAACCACAACAGCCATTTAAGGACAAGCTCAAAACGCCCCTTCTTTTGAGAAGCCTTCCCTGGTCTCCACCAGAAACCATCACTCCCTCCTCCACAGCCGCTCCTGACCTGCCTCTCTCAGCAACACAATGTCCCTTAGGACCCAAGGTCTGGGCCTGTGCCCAATGCGGGACCCAGTTCTGAGCCAGTCCATGACTCAGATACACTTCGCTGCCAGCTTAGGACAAAGGGGAAGTGGCTGACAGTGTTTGGAAAAGGCCAGGGCTGGAGGAGTATGTCTGGGATGTGGGTAAGAATATGTCTGCATTCCGGAGGAAAAGCATCCATCACCCAGAGCTGGCACACCTCAGAGAGGCCAGAGTCCTGGAAGGTCTGCTGGATCTTACAGCCCGCCTCTCTTGTGGCACAGAAGGGGAAATCGAGGCCCAAGAAGGAAGGGACCTGCCCAGGGTCCTCCACTTGGTGGCAGAGCCAACTTAGGGTCAGGGGCACTTGGGTTTCAGCTCAGCTCTGCCCCACGCCAGCAAGTTCCTGCAGCTGTCAGGAGAAGGGAAAGAACTGGGTAGCCGTGAGGATTCAAATATATCAAGAACTCAAGGAGGGTCTGGCCACAGCAAGTACTTAATAGATGGTCATTATTACCAACGTTTCACTTTGTGTCGGGAGACACAGCCAGGAGAAGGATTTGGAGAGGCAGGTATCTCCACACCACTGGGGCCAGGCTTTACCTGTCTCAAGGGCACTTTCCAGCTCCAAGCCTTTGCCTCCCTCCGCCCCACTGTGCTAAGTCCTGTGATTTTACCAGCGTCCACTCAATGTGTCTGGGAGGCCCTTCCCAATGCTCCCACCACAGCTGTCAGCATGATTAGACACACCTGGCCGCTGTTCACCAGCAGTGCCCCGGGGCAAAGCTGGCCAGCCCTCCACTTGGCCCTGTGGGAGGTCTTCTACCTCTATTAAATGCAAACCCTGGGTGACGAACGTGTTATAAAACTATTGGGGTGACGGATGTGCAACTCTGCGAATATTCTAAAACCCACTGAATTGTACAATTTAAATGGATAACCTGTACCATATGTAAATGATAGCTCAATAAAGCTGTTACCAAAACAAAATGCAGACTATACTTACCCCACATTTACTAAGCCCTGCACTCTGAGTGAATAAACCAATCTTTATTACACTAAAGAGAATAATAATAAGCACTTACTGAACACTCGCATGCTTGAAACCTATAAGTATCTTCCATTCGTTTTCTCATTTAATTCTGACACATCTCAATGCAGGAGACACTCATTATTTTGCACATGGGGAAACTGAGGCTCCAGAGGGTAAGAAAGGGAATTGATGGTTCACTCTCCACACCCCACCTCCCACCTCCCGCAGTGCTGTGCACGAAATAGGCTGCTCTGTAAGAAAGTGACATTCACCAGGGCTTCGGGCCACACCGGAAAAGGTGGCAGGGAACGCTGACTCAGCAGGACGGGCGCGCCCACCCAGACAGCCCCTTCTGCCGAGTCCAAACCAGCCACGTCTGATCCCCTCACGAGCCACCATCCTCACAGGGGCTGAACGAAGTGGCTGGAGCAAATGCCAAAAGGGTGCGTGTCCCATAAGCCGCCTGTTTCCCCATTTATAAAACGGGGACGGTTGCCCACAGTTCTGGAATGGTGCGGTTTCCAGCGACCCACCCGCAGGTGCTCGCCCTGAACCCCGAGACGGCTCCTGTAGCTGCAACTCACCCAGGGACGGGGCGCGGTGGAAGGGCTCTGCGGTCCCTTCTAAGCCCCTATCCCGGACCCGATTCCCTTTCCCAGGGGTACCCCTGGTAAAGCAAAGGTCCCTTCGGCAGTTCCCCCTGAGTCACCTGCTTCCCCGAAGCTGTCGTCCTCGCCTTCCGCGCCCGCCTCCACCGGCATGCCCAGGTCCCCGTTGGGGCCCGACATTGCGGGCTCGGGCGCCGCAAGGGCCGCGAGAAGATGAGACGCGGCGACCGTCACGCCAGCAGAGCGCGCCGGGCGGAAGGCGGCGGCGGCGAAGGCGGC